ACACTGCAGGAAGTAAATTTAAGAACTCAAGAACCACATTTCCAAGAGGTGGGCTGGGTGGTTTCTGGCCTTTCACTGGGTTATGGATATTTGTGAATTTTTAAGGGGCTTGGTTACAAGTTGCTATTGCTAATGGTCAGAAAAAAAGCTAAATGAAAGTGATTAAATTTGGGAGTCTTGTTTTCAAAACAATAAATGGGGATACAGACATGATAGAATAAAAGAGTAGATTTTTGAAACTACTCTGAAAAACAGGGAGATACAAAAATAGGATTAAAAAGGTAGATTATTGAATCTACTTTTAAACCTAAAAAGCAACTACTAGTTTTCAATATTTTACATTGGCTTGGAACTTTGTATATTGATACAAATTTTAGGTTATTTTTGTTAGGGAATATTGTACATAGATTTTTTATCTTGTTCAAGATATTGTACATATACAGTTCATTTAACAATGTAATGCAAATTTATAGTCCTTGAAAATTAGTATTACAAACTATTTAGGATAAAGAAGTAATACATGTTAGTAGTTTTTTACCTATTACAATCAAATTTGTGGTCATATGTTTTCAAGGTCAAACATATATTAGATTGACAGATCATCTTCAAACACTTCACAGATCCACAGAATGTAGCATTTAAGATATTTTAATAACATAGGTTCTTTTTTCTTATGACATTGAGACTTGTGTGATCTTGGCAGCTCCAATTTTTGAAGAAACTCCACATGGAGTTTAGTTTCTTTGTGAGAAAAGTAAACCACTGGGCAAGAAAATGCTCTTGACTCAGCTGCTGACCGTATGCTGTCCAAATTGGACAAGCAGGACACACACAAAAAAAAATTTTAAAAAAACTTCCAAAATTTGCCGAGACTAGGCAGGAAAGTTCTTCAGAATATCCTGTTTCACAGAAGTCTATCAGGTATTTTAGTCCTGTAGGCTGAAGATGGATGCTCCAATGTTACAGAGAACCCTTGGATGACTGTCCAGACAGCCAGCTATTTCTGTCTTTTCTCTCATTTTTTGGAACTCCCTTGCTTCCACTTCCTGCTTACTCAGTTAACATTATTTCTTTCTTGGATCTCTGAGGAAGTTGTAGACAAGATAGTCTCCACCACCTTTACCCTCCCAAATTTGCCTCTCACCTTCCAACATGTGATACTATCATGTCAACATAGTAACTAAGAGTAGCACAATTCATCTTGAGAGAAAATGGGTTAATTATATTTTTACTCAATATATTTTTAACCTAAGCTTTGCAGTTCCATTAATGTATAAATATGAAAGCAATGCTTCTGCCTTGGTTAAAACTGTAACATAAGTCCTACATTGCATTCACCAGAAGCTTGCATGCAAGGAGGTCTTTCCTTCTTCCCTATTAGACTTGAAATCTAATTCACCTAGTAGGTAAGTGGTGTGGAAAGTCCTTCTGTATATATAAAAAGTATAATTAAGAAATCACATTAATAACTCAAGTGAGTCCTCATAGTCACTTAATTCAGGCAAAAGCCAGAACAAGCCCTGGGAGGTGATGAGCTAATAGGATGCACATTAGCCCAAGGCAATAAAGGGGAAATTCATAAAATGAAATACAGCATTATCCAAATAATGGACCAGAGATGAGCAACTTTCTATGTAAGGAGGTGGCAAACTGAACTGTCTGAGCAGTTTCATAAGTATTTGTTTATGTAAATAAATCTGCCAGGTATAGTAGTCATAACAATAAATCTTTCAGATAAATCATGGTCACTTTACAGATACAGTTTTAGATAAAACATAGAAAAACATCAAAAAGCAGTTGTTTGGGCATTTGGAATGAAATGTTAAAAATAGCAAGAAAACACTTAAACATAAAATTATAGAGACCCTCTAATTAATAGAGTATAAGTAAATTTTACTTTTTTTCCCAAGGTATTAACAAGACCATGGTGACACACAGCAAACATACTAGCTTGGGTCTGTTTCTTTTCTCATATAGACACTAATGTTATTATTGATTCCATCTTATTCTAATTACCTCCAGAAGCAACAACTCCAAATACTATTAACATCTGAGTGGGGAAGAAAGCTTTTAACTCCTGAACTTTTCTGACCTTGAATTCATAACATGCCTCCAAACCCTGACTTTAAGTGAAAGTTACTCGAAAAAAAAAATTATTTTAGCAAAAGTTACTATTACATGATGTTACAAAAATAAAAACCTAAACCTTTCTTTGATTTACATTAAATTCCCAGCTTACATTTAAGTTATAAATTCCCTAGGGAATGGGCCATGGATCAGAATAAATTGGTGAGTGTTGGCCCAGCACATGCGAGGCCTTCCCTAGGTTCAGTCACCAGTACTGCATAAACTTGGCCTGGTAGCAACACCTGTGGTTTCAGCTCTTTACAGAGGGAAGCAGAAAGATCAGGAGTTTAAAGTTAACTATCTCAGCTACACAATCAATTCAAGGACAGCATGGGATTTACAGCACCCTATCTAAATGAGTATAAGAAGTTGCAATGGAGAAGTGGATTCCTTTTCACAAAAAAAAAAACAACAAAAAAAAAAACACTTCAGGAAAACCTTAAGAAATAAGATAACTGTTAATGGAGGAAGGTCATTGGTTAAATAAAAAGAAACTGCTTGGCCCCCATTGGTTAGAAGATAGGTGGGAGAAGTAAACAGAACACTGGGAGGAAGAGGAAGTGAGCTCAGACTCCACAGCTCTCCTCTCAGAGCAGACGCCTCAGAGAGACGTCATGCTCCCGGCTCCTGGGCAGACGCACGTGATGAAGCTCTGACCCAGGATGGACATAGGCTAGAATCTTCCCCGTAAGCACACCTAGCTGTGCTACATAGAATATTAGAAATGGGCTAAATTAATATGTGAGAATTAGCCTAGAAGAGGCTAGATAGAAATGGGCCAAGCAGTGATTAAATGAATACAGTTTGTGTGTTGTTATTTCGGGCATAAGCTAGCCAGGCAGCCGGGGTGCTGGGGACGCAGCCCCGCCGCCCTTATTGCTACAAACTGTGTGTTTAGTGTTAATAAATAATACATTAAAGCATAATTATCTTGTGTGGGCCTGAGTCTAGAAATTGCTGTAAGTACATAAAGTTTTTATTCAGGCCTGGTGCTATTGCACCCTTAATTATATAATAAATAATGTATTTCTTACTGGCAACATGTGTTTTTCAATCGGAGAAAAGTCTTTGCTTATTTTAGAGGTTTTCTGAACCTGTGACCTCATGTAAAGATGTAAATGAACAGCAAATGTTCGAGTCCTTTCTCTGGAGCTCATAGAGACTACAGATTTGGTGTGATTGATCTGACAGATTGAGACCATCAGAGTTCTGCTTTTAGGAGATGGTCTGATCCACTCCCCGCTGTTCTGTTCTTATCATTCCAGCAGTGAAGGCATCCCTCACAATGTCCCCAGCTTCTCCTTTTGTTATGGTGCAGAAGGGGTGGAGGGGAAGAGGGGACTCACTTCCATGTAGCTTTTTATGTTCCTTCTGATAATTATTCAGGCACCAGGAACGGTGGCAAATATTGAACTTGCTTTTGTTCCCACTTAGAGCCTTGATGGTTCTTGTGGAATCTTGTGCAGTCTTTTCAGCTTCCATTGAAGTTGCTGATAATCTTCCTTTTGTATGTCATTTGTGGTTCTAGCTTTCAGTAAAGATGGCGAATTTGTTCTGTGTTCAGCCCTTAAGTGCTCCTCCTTAGCTGCCTTTGTATTTCTCATACAAATATTCTTAAGAAAGGTAAGGTATACATCACTCGTTTTTAAGGAAACTGTTTTAGGAAAAGAGCTAAGTAAATATGTAGGTAGTAGTGAGATGTTTTAATACTGTGTGCGTGTGTGATAGTTGAAAATGCCAGGGTAAAAGACTGGCCAACTAATTGATATATTTTGACATTTATTTGATTTCAAATCTACCATTCGTGCGAAGAGACATTCTGCTACTTCTGCCTCTGAGCCCTAGACTGTTTCTGAATCTCGACCTGGATTGGACGAGATTGCACTGATGGAATGATGCTCATGAGAAATGCACAAAGCCATCCAAGGCTGCTTAATGATTCCTCTAATTGTAAGATATTACAGTCAGTAAGATATCAATATCATGTTTGCCTTTCCTCAGAATTCATCTGCCTACATGTGGGGATTTATTCAGATTCATTCTTACACTAATTCATCAGATACTTAGTAAATACCTTTGAATATCCCCTCCTAGAAGTTGGAGGATTCAAGAATTACTAAGGACTGGTAACTGTTTTTGCAAGTTTCTTGTCTTGTGCTAAAGACAGTGTGAAAGCTGTCCTCATCATGCATTGAAAGCACTGTTGATGGACAGATGTATCAAGTGCTAGAGGAACAGAGATGGCGTCTGTGCTTGGGAGATGTAGACCAGCTCCTTGTTAGTTATCCTTGTTAGTCATCCATCCTAAGGGATAACTTTGATGCTTCCTTTCCTAGCAAAAACTCAGCTGTCATGGAAAAAAACTTTCTCGATTTGGGATGACTCATAGTGTTTAAACTTTAAAAACGATGTGTCTCTTCCCAGAAGAGCAAGCTGATTGTTAAAGGGTTAAGTGAGTCTGTTTTGTTGCCCTGGGCCCTATCACTAATGTTGCAGTAAATACCTCTATTCCCTTTATTAGAGTATGGTCAACTGCAGGAGAGCACATGTGCTCTGAGAGCTAGGTCTGCAGGCCAGCCCTGTGTCCATCCGTTCTCTTCTCTGCTGGGCCTGCCATGGGAGTTCTGAGGGGGTCAGGCTTTGTTGTTTGATTGTTGATTGTTTGTCTAGAGAATGTAGCATCCCAAATGTATACAAGCTGATTGTGTGAGACAAGGGACAATCTGTTTTTCTACCTATGGGAACTCACTGTGAATTTCCTATTCTTGGACAAATCAAGTCTGTGTTCTCTAGGGCACATGGTTAAATTGTATTCTCAGCTTTAGAATGTGTATTAAATAATTGTGGTTTTTTTCCCCCCTCTTTGTCTACAGCAAAGCCAGAGCTCTATTTGAGAAAAATGCTGCCCCAATTTTACACCTGTCTGGCATGGATGTGACGGTTGTCAAGGTGAGAATGACTCTCAAGTCTTTATTTGCACAAGGCCACCTCTCATGTATCCTTTGCTCTTACCTTCTAAACAGAAGTCAGGTTTTCATTTAAGACAAGAAGAAAATCAATGTTATGTCTTGTTTTACTAATTACTCAAAGAAGCTTTGTTTTCTCCTGACTTTGTCTGCTTTTCATTTCAGCACAGGCTCACATGAGTGTGTGGAATACAACTCACATGGGTGTGTGGAGCACGGGCTCACATGGGTGTGTGGAGCATGGGCTCACATGGGTGTGTGGAGCACGGGCTCACATGGGTGTGTGGAATACAACTCACATGGGTGTGTGGAGCACAGGCTCACATGGGTGTGTGGAATACAACTCACATGGGTGTGAGGAGCACGGGCTCACATGGGTGTGTGGAGCACGGGCTCACATGGGTGTGTGGAGCATGGGCTCACATGGGTGTGTGGGGACCCTATAGTTTCCATCTGCGAGGCAGCAGGTGGAGTTATCTCTTAGTTGTCAGAGTGTGTTCCCCAAAATACAAAGCCGTACACTTTGAGTGGTTTAATTTCTACGTAGTTCCATTAGTAGGTAAACATTTTCTTCCTTTTTAAGAATTATTTGTGACTGGCAATTTAAAAAAGTAAACCATTAAAGTTTTGAGATTTTAGGAAAGAAGGAAAAAAAGGACAAAATAAGTTAGGATAAATTGTAAATTTTAGACACTGTCTCAGGTTTCCATTATGGTGAACTTCAAATATCATATGTGTGTCTGGGGGGGCACTTATTCAAAACCAGCCTTTGCTATATTTATTTTTAATTACTTAAAGAGAATTATGTGTACATATGAACATTGCACACACGCCTTGTATCTACAGAAGCCAGAAGAGGATGTTGTGTTCCCTGGAACTGCAGCTATAGACAGTTGTGAGCCACCATGTGGGTGCTGGGACTCAAACCAGATCTGCAGGAAGAGCAGCAAGTGCACTTTACTGCTGAGCCATCTCGTCAGCCCCTGCCCCTCCAGTGTTTCAAACCTGGGTTTATTTCTTCTTAAAATTTTTTTGAAATTAATATAATTGTATCATTTCTCCCTTCTATTTCCTCCCTCTAGACCCTGTCATATATCCCTCCTTGCTAAAGTACTGTTTTTAATAATATTTTATTGATACTTTGAGAGTTTCATATAATGTATTTTGATAATTCTCATCCCCTACTACTTACCCACCTCATCTCAGATCTGTCCCCCAACTGTAACCCCTAGTTCCTCAATCCCTTCTTCATGTCTTTTAAAAAAATAATTCAGTGGATTGTTTGCTGCCCTCCATTGGAGTGTAGTGGACCTACCAGGGACTGTCCCTTAATGACAACTTATCTCTTCCTTCCTGAGAAGCCACCAGTTAGCACTAGCTCCTTAATTAGTGGTGACAACTCCTAAGCCCCTCCTTCTCCATCCTAGAATGTTGACTGGACTGATAGTATTCTATTCCTAAATTACACTTTGAGTGTCTCTTAGCGATTAGAAGGTCATTAGAAGGTCATGTCCTGTAACTGGCCATTCACTTGTGAATTCTCTTTTCTAACTTGTCAGGCTTGATCTTGCAGTTGTTTGCCTTTGGGGTCAGGAGAAAGGAGAAACCATTTTCATGAGCATCTATATGTGCTGCAGTCTAGGGATGAGAGCCCTGAGGGTGATGCTGTAAGACCAATAGTAGTTCCTTATCATTTGATGAAACTCTCGGGTAAACTCTGGGCCTGGAGCTTTGCTGAGGGGAGACACTGCATGGCTTTCCAAATAGTACAGCGAGTGCAGAAGTTCTGTTTCTCTTGGGCAGTGTACGTTCTTCAGGGAATTCATTCCTCCTCCTTGGTCTTCAAGTCAGTTGTCATCCAGTTGTCCGTAATGTGCTCCTGTCATCTCTTAACTTTCTGTAGCTTGTGTGGTGTCCACTTCACCCCCCACCTTAGCTGTGCCTGCTCTGTAGTCCCCAAGATGGTTTTCAGTTTAATTAGTTCCTGCTCAAGACCCAGTTTGCCTGTTGATTTTCTCACTGACAAGGTTGGTTCATTTCTGTCTTTCTTTAAAAATTATTTTCTTCAGTTATGTTTGTACGTATGTATGTATTTAGTTTTTCTGTTCTCTGTTGTGTTGCTCTCATGGGTTGATTTTATCCCCCCCAGTATGTATTTAAAGCTCTAAACTCTGTTGCTTCATTCATGTATCCATGTCCCATGACCTCTGACACAGTTCTTTCATTATCATGTCTAACTATAATCTCATTTCCATCGTGATTTTTATTTGGCCTTTGAGCTATTTTATTTCTAGATCTAAGTTTTTCTGGGAATCATTTTGTCAGTGATTTCTGAATTAACTGCATTGTTGTCAAAGACATAGTCTATATAAGTTCAGGATCTTAAAGCTTATTGGGATTGGTGTTTGTGTCTGTTTTTATGAGTGTTCTGTGCATGCCTAAGAGTAATTCATATCAACTGATAAATTGTGTTCTGTTTATGACCTGCATCCAAGTCTGTTCACTGTGTACTGCAAACTTTTCTCCTCCCCTTTTTAATTTTTTTATTTTGTTTTTATTGATAATAATAACTTTAAGCTATCCTGTCACGGAGTTGCAAATCTCCTAGCATGATTGTGCATTTGCCCATTTCTATAGACAGTTTTGTCTGCTTTTTATGTTTATATCTTGAGATGATTAATTCTCAAGGAATAAACACAAGACAGTTTAAAGACAATTTGGTCCATAAACGTTTGTTATGTTGGTAGATTTTGCATGTGGACCTCAGCTTTTAGTGACTGAGCCCTCTCTCCTGCCAACTGCATATATGTGTAAACCCATTTCTCTGCTAGCTGTGCATTGGGACTTAGCGCCTTAGCTCAGATAATTGATTTCCTGATCAGGATCTTGTTGGTCAACAGTCGGTGTTAGTCTCCTCAGGAATCCTTAGTGGATTGGGTAGAGCATACTTCTGATGGCCCCACTCACATGTTAGGTTGAGGTGACGGTTGTGTGGCCCATGTCTTCACCAACCATCCTCACAGAGTAGGTGCATTCTCTGATGTAAATAAAACACTGTCACATTTTTTCCCTAAACATTTGACTGTATATGTTTTAACAAGAAAGGACAGTTTCCTTCGTACCTATAATGACATCTTCAGACCAAACAAATTTAAAAATTTCTCGAGCGAAAGGAGGGAGAAGATGAGCAAGGAAATCAGGACCACGAGGGGTGCACCCACCCACTGAGACAGTGGGGCTGATCTATTGGGAGCTCACCAAGGCCAGCTGGACTGTGACTGAAAAAGCATGGGATAAAACCGAACTCTCTGAACATGGCAAACAATGAGGTCTGATGAAAAGCCAAGGACAATGGCACGGGGTTTTGATCCTATTTCATGTTCTGACTTTGTGGAAGCCTAGCCAGTTTGGATGTTCACCTTTTTAGACATGGTTGGAGGGGGGCGGACCTTGGTTTTCCACAGGGCAGGGAACCTACTGCTCTTTGGACTGGAGAGGGAGGGGGAGGAGTGGGGGGAGGGGGAGAATGGTGGGAGGAGGGGGAGGGAAATGGGAGGCTGGGAGGAGGCGGATACTTTTTTTTCCTTTTCTCAATAAAAAAAAAGAAAGAAAAAAAAAGATGGGCAAAAAAAAATTTCTCAATACGAAAAGCCTATGATTTTTCTAATTTAAGATACTCAGCAATTACATATGAAAACTATTATGTGATTTATCTTACATATTCAGAAAATAGGTATTAGAAATTTTAATCTTAGTAGAAATATTAATATTTTCTTCTTATTAGTTTAGTTGAAATTATTAGTTTTTGAAAGGTTGATTTCTTATCTTTTATATTAAGTTTTATTTGGAAAAAAGTTTGGATATGCAAAACGAGTTACAAAAACAAAACATATATATTTATCTACTTCACCCAGAGTACTAACATTTTACTGTTTGTGCATAATTTCTCTTGACATAAATGTACGTGTAGGAGTTCCTGTGTGGAGCTCATGGATGAAGTCTAGGGTTTACTATTGCTGTGAGGAGACACAGTGACCAGCGCAACTCTTATCAAGAAAACATTAGTTGAGGGTGGCTCACTTACATTTTCAGAGGTTGGTCCTTTATGATCATGAAGGGAAGCATGGCGGCACAGGAGAAATGGAGCTGAGAGTCCCACATCTTGACTCAGAGCAACAGGAAGTAGACTGACTGTCACACTGAGAGGCTTGAGAAAAAGGTCTCTCTCTTACTTCCTGCTCCGCTTCCAGACATGACAGTCCTGTTTTTTTCCATTCATGGATATTTTGTATCTCTGTCAGTAGTTGAGGTATGGGCATTTCTTTGCCCAAAGACCAGTTCAGCCAAAAAGATAGGCTCCAGGTGGAGTGTCTTTGGTGCTCAACATTCTCTCGGGAAAAGATTGGTGCTGCCAAGAGCAATTGTGTTTCACTATCACAAAACTCTGAGTTAGATTAAAGGCCATTTTCTACAGCTCTTTGAAGAGGTTGAAGATTATCTATCCATACTGAGTATAATCTCTATATATCTAGAGAACCTGATTAGTCTAATTATAAATGACAAACTTAGATGACTATTGATCTATATAATTCTCAATATCTATCTAACTTTAAAGACTAAGACAATAAACGACTGTGAAACAAATGAGGACAATGACCTCCAAATATAAACAATGTACAAATATACATTGCAGTATGGTAAATATATATCAATACACAAACATTATATAAGTATCTTAATCAGAGGTAGAAATGTACACTGCAAATGTAAATATATACAATATATATATATATCAATACAATATATGTCAATACATAAAAATGTTTTAAACAGAGGTGGAAACATGCATGCATACAATAGTCAATATAATTTCACTTTGTATCAATATATAAGAATCGATACCAATATATTTGACTCAAAACAATAACTCACGTGTACCAACATGTACCAATCATCATACCATCATCCCATTATCTGTCTTTTTTTTTTTCAAATGATCCCTGAGCTTATAAAATTCCTCCCCCAACCGTCAAACGTATACTAATTATAATCAACCCCTAAATGATGTCCCTAAACCCAAGGGCAAACTTTACTGGGAGAGGGGACGTCGTCCTCTAGAATTACTTCCAGCTGTCATGGGGTCGACGTTCTTTCTGGGGGATCCTGTGAAAGTAAAATGATGGTTAAATTTCAAGATCAATGTCTTTTAAAATTGCAAATAGTCTCTGAGTATTTTGTGCAGGTCTGGCCAAAATGTTGTATAAGATGTGCACCATTTCAGCTAACCAAGTTGGAACTGTCTTGTGCAGCTGGTACCCAAAACAGGTCTTGTAGTAGCGCTATCAGTATCATGACGTCATATCAACCAGGTGGAGTTGTTGTTATGGGGCCCCATCTTCTTCCTGGAAACTTCAAATGTCACTTCAGGAAAAACTCATTTTGTTCATTGTGAAAAACTTAAACATTAATCATATAGACATATATAGACATATATACATATATATATATATTCAATGAAAGGCATGATAGATATATTCAATGAAAAGTATAATAGATATGAAGAAAAGCAAAGATGTTTTCTAATCTCATATTTCTTGCTGTCCCATATCATGGCTCTTGACATGAGACAGAAACTCCAGAAACTCTGGGTTTTTCTCTTACCAACAGGCTTGGAATTGGAGAGGTACTGAGCCATAGTCCAACTTCAAAACCAGCTCTATATATTTATAAATAAATGCACATTAATACATATTTAAAGATAAGAGTAGAATAATTTTACTTACGAGACCTATTTTATTTACTTGCTGATTCTTATTGGGTGGTAAATAGTTTCCATCTGTCAGTATTCAAATATCCAGGGTTCCTTGAATTTTCTGAAGATGAGTGTTTTCCTGCAGAGATAAGAAGAGAACCCTGCCCCCATTCTATATGTTTTTCTTACCACTTGTATAAATATCATCATTTTGGATGAGCTGTCATTTCTCCTTTCCAAGAGGTTTCTCCTCTTCAAATCGAAACTTTATTAATTTTGATGGTATCCACAATTTTTCTTCTGTGGAAACAAGAGCAAAACCCCTTCCCCAATGTAGCACATCTCCTGGCTTCCATTGAGAGGTCAGCACATCTTTGAAATAAATCGGTTGATTTAGTTCAGCAGACTTTTCCATTATCCAATGTCTTTCTGCTGCTGTCGTTCCTTTCTCATTAGCGTTAAGAAAATTCAAGGTTAATAAAGCATTATGTAGGGGGCTGGAGAGATGGCTCAGTGGTTAAGAGCATTGCCTGCTCTTCCAAAGGTCCTGAGTTCAATTCCCAGCAACCACATGGTGGCTCACAACCATCTGTAAAGAGGTCTGGCGCCCTCTTCTGGCCTTCAGGCATACAGACAGAATATTGTATACATAATAAATAAATAAATATTAAAAAAATAAAGCATTACGTAATCTATTTCTGGGGGTATTTTCGGTCCCTTTCTGTTTGTTCAGCATATCCTTTGTAGTACGATTTGATCTTTCTATACCTGCCTGACCTGTAGGATTATTTGGTATACCTGTAATGTGTTGTATATTATAATAATCAAAAAAACGTTTCATTTTCTTATATACATATGCTGGACCATTATCTGTCTTTATTTGTGCAGGTATACCCATGATGGCCATAACTTCCAATAAATGTGTGATTACTGAATCAGCCTTTTCTGAGCTCAGGGCAGTAGCCCATTGAAAACCTGAATACATGTCTATGGTGTGGTGTACATATTTTAATTTACCAAATTCCATAAAGTGGAACACATCCATCTGCCAGATTTCATTTCTCTTAGTACCCTTTGGGTTACTTCCTGCAGGCAACGGTGTTTGATTATAGAAAGAACAAGTAGGACATTTCTTTATAATGTCCTTAGCTTGTTGCCAAGTAATGGAAAATTCTTTCTTTAGTCCCTTACTATTGACATGATGCTTTTATGAAATTCTGAGGCCTGCAACACACTTCCAATCAATAATTGATCAATCTCAGCGTTGCCTTGGGCTAGAGGACCAGGCAGACCTGTATGGGACCGGATGTGTGTTATGTACATCAGACAAAGCCTGTTCCTGATTATGTCTTGTACCTGGATAAACAATGAAGTCAACTCTGTGTCATCTGGTATAAATTCAGCGGTTTCAATATGCAAGATAACTCTTTCTGCATATTGTGAATCTGTAACTATATTAAGAGGTTCTTTAAAATCCCTTAGCACCATAAGAATGGCATATAATTCTGCCTTCTGGACAGAATTATAAGGGCTTTGTTCCACCTTACTCAATTCATCTGACTTGTAACCTGCTTTCCCTGATTTATTTGCATCAGTATAGAACATACGGGCTCCAGTTATTGGAGCATCACGTACAATTCTAGGAAGAATCCAAGAAGTTCTCTTTGTGAGGTTAAGTCTACCACTTTTGGGATAGTTGCTATTAATTTCTTCCAAAAAATTAGCACAAGCTCTTTGCCACGGTTCATTGTCTTCCCATAACTTTTTTATTTCTTCAGTAGTAAAAGGCACTATAATTTCTACTGGGTCTATACCTGCTAGTTGACGAAGTCTCAGCTTACCTTTTATAATTAATTCAGAGACTTTTTCCATTTAGTTTTTAATATTTTTACTTGGTTTATTAGGTATAAATATCCACTCTAAAATAATATCTTCCCTCTGCATTAGAATCCCTGTAGGAGAAATTCTGGAAGGCAATATGACTAGGATGCAGCTAAGATTTGGGTTCACCCTATCCACATGTGCCTCCTGTAATTTTTCCTCAATCATTGTCAGTTCCTTTTCTGCTTCAGCTGTCAGTTTTCTTGGACTATTCAAATCTTTATCACCATCTAAGGTTTTGTTTAAATGAACTATTAGATCAGGTGTTTTCTCAACAGCAGGTCGTAGACTGGAAATGTCTCCTAACAATCTTTGGAAGTCCTTAAAAGAAAGTCTTGCCTAAGTGGGGATTACAAATTGCCCCTGAAAAGATTCAAAGAGGAAACTCTATTAATTACCTAGGTTACAGAATAGGGTTAGAGAAAATTAAAACGCAAAAGGCACAAATTAGGAGAAACAGGTTAAAGACTCTTAATGACTTCCAAAGATTGTTAGGAGACATTTCCAGTCTATGACCAGCTCCACGCTCAAGGCACAGGCCTCAAGGCACAGGCCGCGGCTGAGGAAGGGAGGGCTTGCACCAAGCCGAACTCATGGCCATCAGCCAAGCAGGGGAAGGAGAGGTCCTAAATCCAAACGTTGGGCGCCAGGTGAAGGCGTAAGTCACAAACAATTCCACAGCAGTTTGGAATTATGATTAATAAGGTGGTATTTATTTAAAGGGGAAAAAACTTACAGATCACCATCCCAGACAACAGCCCTCTGCGCAATCAGGAAGGAGTCTAGTCACTGGAAGCAGAGCAGGAAGTAAGAGAGAGCAAGGAGGGAAGAGGCCGCTTTTTTAAAGAGAGAGACCACGCCCCAATGGGCTGGTATCTCAGGGGCTATTGGCTGGAGGAGCAGAAGGACCTCCCGCAACACCTGACAGTGACATTTCCTCCAACAAGCCACACTTCCTAATAGTGCTACCCCTTTTGAAGGCCATTTTCTTTCAAACGACACAGATGAAATCATTGAGCCCTGATGAACAAGCTCACCTGGGCTCCTCTCTCTTCCCTGGAAGTCAGGGTGAGGAGCTCACAGTTCTAACCGTTAAATCATCTGCTGCTCTCTGGTGACCAGCTCCCATCTCCAAGCCACCCAGGGATCCTCCCAAAGCTACCTCTGTAGCACATAGTCTGGTGTGTGAGGGGCGCTTCCTGTGAGTATCGGAGATCTTCTGTATCTTCAGAGCTCTCTGCTAGAACAGAGCACAAAGCCCAGATAGTTCAAATTATACTACAGGTGTTTTATCCCGTCTGATGATTAGTATTTAGGTTTGGCCTGCTGGTGTGTCTAGTGTGTTTTGGATTGGAGGTAATATTTCTATTTCACTGACTTTATGCCCTTTAATCTCTTAGCATTTGTCTTCAGGGCCGTACACATCAATGCACTCCTGGTGGTGGCTGAAATGTACATTTACATGTATGCGTGTATCTGAGATGAGCATTCTTATAAAAATGGGAAGGTGAAGTACTCTTCTGTGATAACTTCAAAACACACCTGCATTTTTTGTAATATCATAGCAAACAAAAGAAAAATACCAATCTCCATCACCTTAGCAGAGTTCCAGTTGCAAACACTTTTCTAGCTGCCTTAGATTGTGCTGTGCAGCAATAGTGCAGGAAGCCTTGGTTACCCTTCCCTTGATGCATGGAAATTCATTGATGAGGAAATTAAGATCCAGTGAGTTTAAGCCCATTCAGCTGAAAAGTAGCAGAGTCTAGATTTGCTGTGGGTCTCTTGGGTGCTGCAGTCTGTGCTCTTTCCATTACATCTGCTTCCCCATTTGCATGTGCACTTGACTTCCTGTCACCAGTGTCACAGAAGCCACACTGGACTGGAAATGAGCCCGCTGGCTGACTAGCTGTATCACTGAAACAAGTTATTGGGCTTGAATTTATTTTTAAAATAAGGAGCTGAGTAGATAGTTTCTGAAGTATAATCCTGACTCAGAAAGTATAAAAGTATAAAAATTCATACCTAGTTGTTTTCATAAAATTTTCTTGAGAAAATAGAGTCAATTTAAACTTTAGACAGCGTATCTCATCTTTTCATCCTTTGAACTTGTGTTCCTACAGTGACAGATTTACCAGAGCGTTCTTTTACATTTCAGACAGATTATGAGGGACAGGCCAAGAAGCTCTTGGAACTGATGGAAAACACAGATGTGATCATCGTTGCTGGAGGAGATGGGACACTGCAGGAGGTAGGATCCTCCCCTCCCCATCCAGGAACATTTTTAAGGGGACAAGAATAAAAATTAGTTCTAGAACAGTGGCGACAAGAATTAAGGAAACTGTTGGAGTTCATTATTTTAGGGCTGTTGCTCACAGCTAATACAGCCCTAAGCTTTGCTCCTGTACTTTTCCTTCCTTGCTTTTGGTAAACCTTCCTCCCAGCAAAAAGAAGGGATTATATGCAATAAATTTTGTTTGACGAAATTAAATAAAACAAACAAGGCTCTATAAATATAAGCACTTAGGATGAAGTGGGAGATCTTGAGTTGCAGTTAATCTTGGACTACACAGCAAGATTAGATCTCAGACGTTGACTGAGACAGGAGGCAGAATGGGTACGGATGGGCTGAACCTGTTATGTTGTGCATCCTGGTGCACAGCAGCTCTGTGATGGCCTCATGGGTTCTCTGAGGACAAGGTCTCCTCAGATGACAGTGTCTCTCAAGAAAACACCTCTCTGCCCACTCACATCACCCCTGTTGCGTAGAAAGCTAGAACTCTTAGTACTGCATTTATAGGATGAGGTGCTGCTTGTTCAGATGTATGAGTCTCTCTATTTTTCAGTCACTTTTAAGGTTGTTTGGCAGCCAGTGCTAGAGAACACACCTCTTGTATGCTGGGCAAGCTCGCACTCCTGAGCTTTATCCCTAGCCCTGTCTTTGTTTTAATATTACTATCACTTACCCTTAGTCAGATGTTATACCAATTAGAATGGCCAGCATCCAGAGCATGGGCAATATTGAATGCTGATAAGGGTGGAGCTATAGGAACTGTCATTCATTGATGGTAGAAATGCCAAATGGTTTAGTCGCGTTACCTATTAGAATAACCAAAATCCAGGATAACCAAAATAGAAAATGAGAGGTTTCCCAGAAAACTGAACTTACTCATACCACGTAGTCCAGCAATTGTGCTCACTGGAAGTTATCCAACAGAGTTAACAGTCATTGTGCATAGAAAAATATCTGCACATGGATGTTTATAGTGTCTTTATAAATAACTGACAAAACTTGGAAGAAATGAAGGTGCCCTTTAATAGGTCAGTGGGTAAGTAGAGTTGCATACCCAAGTAATTGATTATTTAGCATGAAAAACGAAAAAAGAATTATCCAGTTTTGCCAAGACTCGGAGGAAACATAGTGTTTATTACTAAGTGAAAGAAAGCATGCAAAGTCTACACTCCTTCATTGCTGGTGAGAATGCAAACTTGTACAGCCACTTTGGAAATCAGTGTGGCGGTTTCTCTGAAAATTGGGAATCAGTCTACCTCAAGACTCAGCAATACCACTCTTGGGCATATACCCAAAGGATGAACACTCATACCACAAAGACATTTGCCTTGTTCATAGCAGTATTTTTCATAATACTGGAACCTGGAACCTGGAAGCAACCTAAGTGCCCCTCAACAGAAGAATGAATAAAGAAAATGTGGTACATTTACATAAAGAAATACTAACTCAGTGGTAAAAAATGATCACACATTGGAATTTGCATGCACATGGATAGAACTAGAAAAAAACATCCTGAGTGAGGTAACCCAGACCCAGATAGACAAACATGTTATGTACTCACTTATAAGTGGGTATTAGATGTAAAACAAAGGATAACCAGCATATGGTCCATGATCACAGAGAAGATAGCTAACAAGAAGAACCATAAGAAAGACATACATGGATCCTCCTAGGAAGGGGAAACAGACAGGATCTCCTGAGAAAATTGGGGAGTGTGTATGAGGGGTGGGGAGAAGAGACAGAAGAAGGGGAGTAGGGGACAGGGAGAGCTAGGAAGAGAACATAAGGGAATGGGATGCTCAAGAAGGAGGAATGACAGAGACGTAGAGAAAGGAAAGCTATAACTTGATAGAGGAGGCCATTAAGGTGCTAGCGAGAAACTAGGGAAATTACCAGGAATCCACAAGAATGACCCAAGCTAAGACTCTAAGGAACACTCTAGAGGATGCCTGAACTGGCCTTCCCCTGTAATCAAATTGATGACTACCTAAATTGTCATCATAGAACCTTAATCCAGCAACTGATGGAAGTAGATACAGAGATCCACAGCACCGAACTTCCAGAGATCAGTCCAAGAGAGGCAGGAACAATAATATGAGCAAAAGGGTCAAGACCATGAAGGTGATACCCACAGAAACAGCTGACCCAGAGCTAGTGAGAACTCACGGGCTCTGAACTGATAGCAGGGGAACCTGCATAGGACCAACCTAGGGACACTGAATGTGAGCGACAGTTGTGAGGCTCGAGCAGCTTGTGGGGCCACTGACAGTGGGACCAGGATTGAACTGGCATCTGGCATCTTGGAGCATATTATCTTTGGAGGGATACCTGGTCAGTCTAGATATAGGGGGAAGAGCCTTGGTCCTGCCTCTAAGGTATGTGTTAGACTTTGTTGACTCCCCATGGGAAGCCTTACCTTTTCTGAGGAGTAGGTGAAAGGTGGGACAGGAGGAGGGCAGGAATTGAGAACAAGAGAAAGAATTGGGTAAGGATACTGCTCACACTTGCTCATGCCTGCTTCCCAGAACAAGGAGGCTGAGGCCGGAGGAATGCTGTGAGTCTAGGCTGCCTAATGAGACCCTGCCTCAAAAATGGATAAGATAAAATAAAGAAGTGATTAACACTACTTGTTTAGCCCCTTGTCTTCATAGCCCTTAGGAAGAAACACTCGAGTATAGATTTCTGAATATAATAAGGCATCGTTTTGTCTATGTATCTCAAGGGGGTAACATAAACTTTTCTGTATAATTGAAAAGAGCTCAGATTTCTATTGAACCTACAACATATAAACATTAGTAAAGCTATGTTTTGTAGACCTTAAAATATAGTTTTCCTAATGTAATATGGAATCTTTATAATTTATTTTAGTTTTTATTATTACTTCTAGGTTAAGAATGAAATCAAATTTAACCTTGATCTTATTTGAGAAAATGATGTGTTTTTAAAATCTAGGACATCATTTAACATTGTTCCTGGAAGAAAACAGGAAAGTTTGTGGTCCATGAAGTTTAAATCTAATTTTGTTATGATAAAGGAAATGCATGTTGTTTATGATAATTTTTTCACATTCATAGGTTGCTACTGGAGTCCTACAAAGGACAGATGAGATGAGCTTGTAACAATAAATTTATGTTTTTACTTGCTGTTGTGCTTTTGTATTTTGTTCCTCATGATTCATGAATACATATTTACACATTATACTTACATAATATATGTATTTATATGAATGTATATATGTATATATCAGCATACACATACAAATATAGGCTGTATTGCAGATTGAACCCAGGGCTTTGGGCATGCTGGGTAAGCATTGGACCACTGAGCTACACCTTCAGCCCTTTATTCATTTAGTTTTTATTTTGAAACATGGTCCTGATAAGTTGCCCAGGTTGGCCTTGAACTTGTGATTCTCCTCCCTCAGTCTCTGGAGTCTCTGGGATTCCAGGCACAGACCACCATGCTCAACTCTTGTGCTATAGTTTCAGTCCAGTGCAGTTGTGATGGGATTGGATTTTTTTTCTTTTCTTTTTTTTTATTAAGAAAAGAAGAAAAAAAACATAAACAAAAAACAAGTTTCCACCTCCTCCCAGCCTCCCATTTCCCTCCCCCTCCTCCCACCCTTCTCCCCCTCCTCCCACCCTTCTCCCCCTCCCCCCACTCCTCTCCCCCTCCCTCTCCAGTCCACAGAGCAGTCCGGGTTCCCTGCCCTGTGGTAAGTCCTAGGTCCTCCCCCCTCCGTCCATATCTAGGAAGGTGAACATCCAAACTGGCTAGGCTTCCACAAAGCCAGCACATTAAGTAGGATCAAAACCCCGTGCCATTGTCCTTGGCGTCTCATCAGCCCTCATTGTTCGCCATGTTCAGAAAGTCCGGTTTTATCCCATGCTTTTTCGGTCACAGTCCAGCTGGCCTTGGTGAGCTCCCAGTAAATCAGCTCCACTGTCTCAGTGGGTGGGTGCACGCCTCGTGGTCCCGACTTCTTTGCTCATGTTCTCCCTCCTTCTGCTCCTCATTGGGACCTTGGGAGTTCAGTCCAGTGCTCATGTGTGGGTCTCTGTCTCTATCTCTATCCATGACCAGATGAAGGTTCTATGATGATATGCAAGATATTCGTCAGTATTGCTCTAGGATAGGGTCATTTCAGGTTCCCAATCCTCAGCTGCCCAAGGAACTAACTGGGAACCTCATCTTGGGCACTTGGGAGCCCCTCTAGGGTCAAATCTCTTGCCCACCCTAAAGTGGCTCCCTTAACTAAGAATTGTGGTCCCGTGCTCCCCTATCCACCTTTCCTTTATCCCAATTCTCCTGATTCCCCAAGTCCCCCCTCCTTCCCTTCTACCTTTTCTCTCCCCATCTCCCCTTACCCCCATCCCACCCAACCCCCAAGATCCTAATTTTCTCCCTGGCAATTTGGTCTACTTCCCTTAGCCAAGAGGATAACTATATGTTTTTCCTTGGGTTCACCTTCTTACTTAGCTTCTTTAGGTTCACCTATTGTAGACTCCGTGGCCCTTATTTATGGCTAGAAACCAATTATGAGCGAGTACATCCCATGTTCATCTTTTTGGGTCTGGGACACCTCACTCAGGATAATGTTTTCTATTTCCATCCATTTGCATGCAAAATTCGAGAAGTCATTGTTTTTTACCGCAGCGTAGTACTCTAGCGTGTATATATTCCATACTTTCTTCATCCATTCTTCCATTGAAGGGCATCTAGGTTGTTTCCAGGTTCTGGCTATTACAAATAATACTGCTATGAACATAGTTGAACAAATGCTTTTGTCATATGAAATAGCATCTCTTGGGTATATTCCCAGGAGTGGTATTGCTGGGTCCAGGGGTAAGTTGATCCCGAATTTCCTGAGAAACCGAAACACTGACTTCCACAGTGGTTGCACAAGATTGCATTCCCACCAGCAATGGATGAGGGTACCCGTTCCTCCACAGCCTCTC